ACCTTAAACTGTGGCATTCAGTTTCAGAAAGAAAAATGAAACCAGCAGCCCTTAAAGTGACATGTAGACAATAAAACATGCACACAGCACAGCATGTGTGTGGTTACAATAATACAACAAAAAATGCGTGACATTACATAGGTTTTTGATGAATTTACTGTTTTGTGTCTTCTCAGGATGTGGAACGGCACAGATCCTCTGAGAAATGATACCTTTTCTTGTGCGTCCCCATCTGTCGAGGGCTACCGTTATTTTGGCGTCCTCTTGGGATCGGCTGTGACCATAGTAGGAACCATAGGGAATATTCTGACGGTCCTCGCCTTTGCTACTGATGCCAGCCTGAGGACACGTTTTAATGTTCTCATAGTAAACCTTGCCCTCGCTGACCTTCTTTACTGCACGATGCTCCAACCGGTCAGCGTTGACTCGTACCTGCACCTGCACTGGAGAGGCGGAGCCACGTGGTGCCAGATGTTTGGATTCCTTCTGTTCCTGTCCAACAGCGTGTCCATTATAACATTATGCCTCATCGCTATGAGCCGTTACTTGGTTATTTTCATTTTGGGGTAAAATATCCCTTTAATTCCTTAAGAATTAAGCAAGGTATTTCAAAATAATGTATACAATTTACTCTCGTATAATGATATATAACTATAGGATAAGTAACTATACAATGTACTGTAGATATTAACCAATACCACACTAAGAAGATTCGGCCGTGGGCACGAGGCCGCAGGTAATCACAGCCGTGGTGATATTTAGACCAGTGTGAAAGCCAGTGTGATATTGTTTTTAAACAACAGTTTGCTAAACAATATTGTTCAATATTGTAATATCGTTAATATTGAATAAACTTACATTTTAGACATAATTTTACCTATTTTCCCCTTTCCAAACGAAGTCAGAGCAGAATTAAGTCATGCGTCACAGCTGTTGTGTTTTGAAGATTTAATATTAAAGACTTGTCACTTATCACCTACTGGTGTAAAAATCTAACTGGAAGACTTGTTTTAAAATTCAAATTTAAAAAAGGTCAACATTTTATTATTTGTGGTCTCGGTTTGTATTAAGAAGAAAAGGCACTCTTTTAAAATGTCCATATTGCTTATTGTCCATATAGCTCACTCTATTATGGTTGGGTGGGTGGGTATTCAGAGGTGCTTTAGGAAACAGGATGTGGTATGTAGTGACCTTAAACTGTGGCATTCAGTTTCAGAAAGAAAAATGAAACCAGCAGCCCTTAAAGTGACATGTAGACAATAAAACATGCACACAGCACAGCATGTGTGTGGTTACAATAATACAACAAAAAATGCGTGACATTACATAGGTTTTTGATGAATTTACTGTTTTGTGTCTTCTCAGGATGTGGAACGGCACAGATCCTCTGAGAAATGATACCTTTTCTTGTGCGTCCCCATCTGTCGAGGGCTACCGTTATTTTGGCGTCCTCTTGGGATCGGCTGTGACCATAGTAGGAACCATAGGGAATATTCTGACGGTCCTCGCCTTTGCTACTGATGCCAGCCTGAGGACACGTTTTAATGTTCTCATAGTAAACCTTGCCCTCGCTGACCTTCTTTACTGCACGATGCTCCAACCGGTCAGCGTTGACTCGTACCTGCACCTGCACTGGAGAGGCGGAGCCACGTGGTGCCAGATGTTTGGATTCCTTCTGTTCCTGTCCAACAGCGTGTCCATTATAACATTATGCCTCATCGCTATGAGCCGTTACTTGGTTGTTGCGCATCGCACTTCTCGCTGCGCCCGTCTGCTCCTGTCCCACCGTGGAGTGGCAGTGCTCCTCATCTCATCCTGGCTACTGGGTCTAGCCAGTTTCGCCCCACTTTGGCCCGTCTATGTGTTTGCCCCGCAAGTGTGCACCTGCAGTTTTCACCGCAGTAAAGGGCGGCCTTACACCACCGTGCTGCTTTTCCTGTACTTCTTCTTAGGCTTGGGTTGTGTGGGCCTTTTCTACTTACTGATCTACCGTAAGGTGCGTGTAGCCGCTAAGGCTTTTCTGAAGTACAGGCCCAGTCGTCGCTCATCAAAACTCAAACAGGCTGAAGCTGAAGCGGCGACGGATGACAGCGGGATCAGTGCTGGAGCTTCAACAACTCAAAGCTGTGAGATCAGTAATGATGAAGCAGGAGCGAAGCAGAATCGGAACAAAGCAGAGGAGAAATCTGAGGGCCACACAACCACAAAAGAACCAAAAAACTCCATTCAAGATGCCTCAAAAGACATAGAAACGTCTTCTAAACCATCTCCGGTAACAATCCAGACCACTCCAGCTGCCGGCTCAGGAGAGGACAGTGAATTTAAGCGTGTAACTCGAATGTGCTTTACAGTTTTCTTGTGTTTTGTCGGCTGCTTTGCGCCATTTCTGCTGCTGAATGTCGCTGATAAGGCGAACCGTGCGCCACAGGTCATTCATATGTTCTGTGCAAATCTCACTTGGTTAAATAGTTGCATTAACCCTTTGTTGTATGCAGCCATGAACCGGCAGTTTAACCAGGCCTACAAAGACCTACTACACAAAGCTGTACATCCATTAACCTGGATATGGAGGACCCGTCGGTTCACAACAAGTTAAGCGATAATTACAAATGTTATCCAAGTCATTTCAATCTGAATATGACTGAAGGCTAATGCTTTTTAAGTGGCCCTGTGCTGTAGACGTTCAGTGACCTCACATATCATGTATAATGAAATATGGAGCTGCACTCCATTCATTCTATGGAGAACATCACAGTTCTCGGGTTTATTTTTATTCATCTCCATCAGCTGCATATATAAAGCACAATTAAAGCAATAGAACCAAATATAACTCAAAGCTGCATGCCATATACATTTTATGTATTATGTTCTGTTTTATATTCCAATCACTTTCTATATTGTCAAATAGCTTGTACTTCTTTATTTGGCTCATTTTTGACTATTATGGTCCGAAGGCATTTCTTTTTCAAGCAGTGGGATTTTCCAGTTCTATCAAAGATCGGAAAGAAAACGTGTCTTGTGGCTTTTCACTGCAAACGCACAAACTTTCTCTGTTTCATTTCCTCATTTTTCTGATTGCACATAGGCAGTAATTATGCGTGCCACCAAAGGAATGATTCATAATGACATTAAGAACATTATATTTTGTAACCTTACGCACAAATGAACATGGGAGTTTACAGCTGGGTGATGGAAATAAGGACATGCCTCACTGTTTATTACCTCACATAGGAAACCACGAGAGTTTCTTAAATCCTCTTTTGCTTGCTGTGTTGTTTCCATTTTTATATATTTACTGTTTAAGCTGGACCTCCAGAATATGAAATAAGTTGTATGATTTTATTTTTAAGGATTATTTGCACAGTTCTTTGACATGTAGGTGGATCTGTAACGTGTATATTGCACATCATATCAGTGTTCTACAATTAAAATATGATTCAAAATGAAAACATGTATTATGATTTCTTTCTGAATTGCTCCTTTTGAAATAAAGTAACTTAAAATATGTAGTAAGCAAAAATACTATATTGAAACTTGCTTCTGGCATATGAGTTGTTGGCTCTAATGGAGATTAAGGTTTGAATCTGTCCAGATCCCATTTTTATTATCTATTTAAATTTTATTATGTGTTACCATGTCAAGTCAGCTTCCAGCTTTTGTAGATCTTGACACAAAACCAAGCATTTCGCAAGTCCAGACAAGTGTCTGTAAAAATTCTTGACATTGCAACAAAGGAAGAGCCATATCATGACGTCAAAGCTAAGGTTATATTGTATTTAGAAATTTAAGATCATCAGGCAAAAATCATGGGTATCATGCTCATGGATTTCAGAATGGCCACAAGAGTTAGTTATTATATAAGTCACACCAATTCCAAATTCTGTTTGTCTATATAGAAGGCATGTGTACAATGGAACATGGGACAAATCCAATTTTGTCCCTGAGTAAGGGAACGGATACGGTCTTGGTAACCTAAATTGTTTTAACTTAACACAATTTTTGCCAGATCGGTGTCTTGGTTTTCATTTAGAATGACATTATGACAGACTTATCTCTCATTAGATGTTTTATTGGACCAATATTGTACCATTGGTAACACTCATATATCAACTCTACAAAGTCTTGTTAACAGATACAAAACATATTACAATAAGGTTGACAGTGGACACAATGCAAAACTTGGTTACATGCATTTGAAACAAAGTCTACAAATTCAAACAGAAGTGCTCATGCAGGGGTAACTAAATCTAAAAGATAAAGTGATTAAATAACCATGATATGGAATTTCATTTCAGAGAAAAAAAAACTTAATTTGTGCCTATTTTTTGTTCTCTAAAAGATTTCAGAGACCGTCCAATCTCTGGGACCTAACAGATTCAGTTAGAGGAACACATTTAATTTATCTGTACACATTGTTACACAACAACTCATTTCATTTACCAAGAAATCAGAAGCATTCCGTTCTTACACATTTCTACTCGAGTGCATTTTTCTGTCATCAGAAATCAGTGTTACTCTCAAGAGTAATCATACAATCAGACTGATTCAAATTCATTTTGTTTAAAAGATATTAACATCTAAAACAAATATGAGCAAGTATTTTCACCAGCCAGATAAAGCTCTGTATAATCTGCCTTCAACTGGGATAACAGAACATTTTAACTAAATTCAGCTTTCAAAATTATAGAAAATGTGTCAAAATTATCCATTTCCATTTTTATAGAAGTTAATCACAGTATCTGCCTAATCAAAACTGTAATTGATGACTCAACTATCCAGTACCAAAAACAGGAAAATAATAAGTATTTCTATTGTCTTGAAGTTGGGTTTAGTGAAAGCCAACAAATCACTTTTAAAATTATTAACTACAAGGGAAAAAAATCCAGTTGACTCAAAAGCAAAACATTCAGGTACTTTTCTACAGTCTCAATAGTGGTTATACAAAATAAAAATTGATCATAAAAGACCAAAAAAAAAAAAAAAAATGAAGGTGCCTCAAATCCTAGAGTTAAAAACTATAAAAGCATCATCAACATTGGTACCTTTAAATGTCAAATTAAGTGATTTAAACCAAGCACTGCGTCTGTTTTAAGGTGCTGTAATTCATTTTTGCTATTGAAAATACATTTAGAATAGAAGAATACAAACTGTCCTGCTGATCGTATACTTGGACCATAAAAGCATGATCTTTACTTAGGTTAAATGGCAGAATTTTTATTTATTTTTTTAATAAAGACATCCAAACTCTAATCACCACTCATTTTCATTGCAAAGGAGCTCTAATATTGTTTGAATTCATTTCAATGAAACTTTTTCTTTCCAGCTTATTTTTATAGGGACAAATATTTACTAGCAGCTTAAGAAACGTGAGGTCACAAGACCTCACTCATCCTTGTCAAAGGCTTTACTCCCTTAAAATTCAATAGACATAAGTAACAGATGATTGGATGAATAGACATTCAGATATAAACACTAAATGGATAAAGTAATAATAAAATCAGTATTGAAAATGAAGTAATGACCTGAATTATGCCTCTCTACTTTATACTTATTTACAACAAATCAGAGCTACGGAAAGCATTATACGGCTTGAGTTTTAGCTAACCACATGGATCATGGTTTTGTGTTCAATGGATCAAATTCAGGGGGTCAGTGGTATGTTGGGATTGCCAAAATCTTGAAAACCAGGATCAAGGATGAAGCCATCTGGCTCCTCCTGCAGTATATGAAGGTTTATGCCATTTAAAAACTCTTGCAATGTGTAATTAACATCATTGTCTGTAGAGAGTGCTTCTTCAAGGTTATCCTCGGCACTCTCTGGAAAGTTTTGTTGGAGGCATGATGGTGAAATGCGGGGAGAGGTTGGAGGAAATGCATGTAGAACAGTGCTCTCGCCATCACTGTCCAAAATACTGCTAAGCAAATCAGCATCAATGGTAGAGTTGGAGAACATTGGAGACTTCTTGGACACTTTGAGCAACACATCATCATCATCATCACCCGCATCAGAAAAGGAAGGAGGGTCTTTTAAACATGAAGGAGATGAGAAAGTAAGAGAGACATGTTATTGTTAACCCAATAGCTGCATTACAATAATAAAGACTTCTTGTATTTCTGATGCTGTTTAGCATCACTTTTAAAAATAAAGGTTCCAAAAGGAGCTTTTCGCAGCTCTGCCATAGAAGAACCATTTTAGATCCCCCAAGTACATTCAGTGAAGAACCATTTTTTTCATAGTGTGAGGAACATTTAATAATCTAATGAACTTTTTTCACTATAAAGAACCTTTTGTGCGGTGGAAAGGTCCAATGGATGTAAAAGGTTCTTCATGGAACCATAAATGGCAATAAAAAAAAAACTTTATTCTTAACAGTGTTGGGTCAACTTTAGAGATGCACAATATATCGGTACCATATCAGTTATCAGCCAGTTTTAGAGATTTTTTATTTTTATTTTTGAGATGGGTGGATATTTTGTTGCTTACATTCCCCAGTTGTACATTTAGATTACCATTACTGTCATCCAACGCTCAAAGATAATCTTTAAAAACACTAAAAATGTAATAACCCTGTTTAAATGTAATCTTTAGCAAATCTCAAAATGAATATCCATTTCTCATACTGTACATCATAATATAACAACATAACAAATCATAGAAGTTTTTGTTTTATTATTAATTTATGCAGACAAAACAGTGGAGAATTTTAATATTGGCTATTTATCAATTAAAAATAAAATCAGTTGCAAAAATATATTAGCTTATTGAAATCAGTGCATCCCTAAATTGTGGCATGCAACATGCCAAAAAAAAAAAAAAAAAAAAAAACTTTAAAAATGCTAATCATTTAATAACACTGTTAAAATGTAATCTTTAGCAAATCTCAAAATGAATAAATTTTTTTGTTGCTTACATTCCCCAGTTGCACATTTAGATTACCATTACTGTCATCCAACGCTCAAAGATAATCTTTAAAAACACAAAAAATGTAATAACCCTGTTTAAATGTAATCTTTAGCAAATCTCAAAATGAATATCCATTTCTCATACTGTACATCATAATATAACAACATAACAAATCATAGAAGTTTTTGTTTTATTATTAATTTATGCAGACAAAACAGTGGAGAATTTTAATATTGGCTATTTATCAATTAAAAATAAAATCAGTTGCAAAAATATATTAGCTTATTGAAATCAGTGCATCCCTAAATTGTGGCATGCAACATGCCAAAAAAAAAAAAAAAAAAAAAAACTTTAAAAATGCTAATCATTTAATAACACTGTTAAAATGTAATCTTTAGCAAATCTCAAAATGAATAAATTTTTCATACTGTACATTATAATACATTAATTTAAAACAGCTCATTGTAGTTTTTGTGTTCTGTTATTAATTTATTTAAAGGGGTCATATGATGCGATTTCAAGTTTTCCTTTCTCTTTGGAGTGTTACAAGCTGATTGTGCATAGATAAGATCCCTGAAGTTGCAAAGACTAAAGTCTCAAAACCAAAGAGATATTCTTTATCAAACAAAAGACTCTGCCACGCCCCCCTAAAACGGCTCATTCTAACACGCCCCCACATATCTACCCCACTATGTGGAAATATTTGCATAATCCCGCCGCAAATGTGCACGCAAAGAAAGAAGGCATGGTGTCAGTAACCGCAGTTAGTGTTGAAGCAGCCATGTCAAGGAGACGCAACATAATGATCTTTAAAATAGCATCATATGACCCCTTTAAACAATACAGCACAGAATTTTAATATCGGCCATAACATCAGCTTATCGATATCGGTGCATCCCTACATTTTGCATGTGCATTTGACATGCAAGCTCAAGCTTCCATAAACATTTTTAAATCAGTGTTACTGTAATGGTTAGGTTTGTGTTATTGAAACAGCCCACCACACAAACAGAAGGTCCCTTTGTGCACAGTGAATCAAATGCACTTGGGTAAGGAAAGAAAGGAAGAATCTAAACAAGATGTTAAAGTTGACTGGGCCACTGAATGAAAGAGAAGCATCCGTAAAAGTAACATCTGTATTCATCAGAAAGCCTTTTGCAATCAAGACTTGGTGATTATCCAGCAAATGAGAAGCAGGTTAGGGTCGAGCTGATTGGATTTGGAGGGGCTGTGGAGGCGGGACTCACCTCTGTCCTGTGTGCACAGGTCAGACTCTGGCCCCTCTCTGATGCCAGAACAGCCATTCCTGCAGCAACCAAGCACAGATCACTCCAGTAAACCAGCAGAACAGCAATCTCAGTGTCTACTCATTCCAGAGTCTTACAGTCTGTTCACTCCTGAACTTCACAACATCACATGTATGGTGCACTTATCCTCAAATAATATTGTGGTAACGTCTTGAATGCTGTAATCTAACAATGCGACCCTCACATCATCACATAATAACATCTAGCGATAACCTGTATAACTTCTACACAGACACCAATAAAAATTATGGCAAAGTACATCTTGTTTCTAAGGCCCAGATATACTTAATTTTCCCTGTTCCGCTCCTTTTTGCAGACATCAGCAGGCTGTGCCGATGACGAAAATTATGCCTGCATGTGTGCAGGACCAAATTTTCAGTAATGAAGCACTGATCTAAGGCTGGGTGATATATTCAGTTCACAATAAAGTAGCTGGTGATAAAACGAAATAATATCATGAATAGTTATAGTAAAGTGCTTTTTATTTGCCTTGTAAATAAGGTCACTAGACTAGTTTGACTATTATTTCTTCACAAGTATGAGAGCATAAATACAGATAATAATGCCTATGATTTAAACTTTAGGGGCAAAAATAGTGTTTTCAAATTCAAGAATTGGTTCAAACTTTTAATGAATCATTTCAAAACAACTGATTGAACTAATTGTTTGTGTTAGTAAATACTGCCATTTATGTCATTTATAAATATATACTGTATATAAATGAAGCTGATTAATTATTATTATTTGGTTATGTATGAAACATTGAAATCTATTTGGCTACAATGGCTGCTTGGTTGAAATTATAAGAAGAAAAAAAAAAGAAATCACAAGATACATACTAATGTTTACATGCACCCAAATAATCCGTTAGTAATCGATTGACGGCTCAATCGGACTGAAAAGCCTTCATGTAAACACCTTAATTGATCCGACTGAGCTCGATCCGAATGAAATTTCGATCGGATTTAAAGGGGTGGTTTATTCCTTTTCTAATACGATCGAGAGTGCATGTAAACACTCGATCGGATTGAAAAACAAAAAAGGACTGCGCATGTGCAATGATGCAGAAATAGCGTAATGACATATGACACGCGGAACGAGCAGTTCTTCCTGTTGAATAAAGTGTTATATAAATGAGTGTCCCGTTATTAATAAACTCTCATTTCACTCAGCATCTGTGAAGTGGAGCAGGACAACGTCCTAACAGTCCTTGTTTTGGATTCTCATCCACAGACGACTGGTTTTGGGCCTAGGAGGGGCGTTTTTACTGCATGATAAATAGAACAAGCACGGAACAGCGGTTTATATGTTCATTGTCTACAAATTATGACCAGAAATGGATAAATATTCATTCTGCTGTTCAAAAAAAAAAAGAAGAAGAAAGAAACAGTGTAGGAGAATGGTTATTATACGCAAACAGCGGGAAACTCTCTATATTTGTGCAGTGTGCGCATGTCAAATCTTGTGACATTCACTTCACTTCACTTGAAATTCAATTCAATTCAATTCAAGTTTATTTGTATAGCGCTTTTCACGATACAAATCGTTGCAAAGCAACTTTACAGCATATAAACGCACACATCAACCCAGTCACTTTATTTTGCGTTCATGTAAACACTATCTTCAGATTCATCATTAGGAATGAATTCAGTCCAATTTAAACAAAAGTTATGCATGTAAACACAAAGGCTAAAACACCAAATAGTAAACACCAAACCAGAGACAGCACTGTTGTAAATGTTACATAATTATGCAAATTATGCAAACACACAACACACAAATATAAACCAATAAACAAACACAGACTTACTCTTTAGAGACAAAAACCAGTTTGGTTTTGAGGTACTTCAGGTAAGGATTCTCCTCTGAAACAAAAACATCACAAGACAAAGAAAATTATTTTGTGGTGAAGTAAATACAGCAGAAACGATTTAGTACTTGTTTCATTAAACAGGTTAGTTCAAACTAATTTTATATTTATACTAAACTAAAGCATAAAGAAAAGAAAATTCTAATGAAGTAAATATTGCTTAGGGTAGTTTTTAAATAATAATATTAATAAAAAAATAGTCAAAGTGTAATATTTATACACAGACTTAAGGGAAAATGTCAAAAAGGTTTTATTTTATTTATTTATAATGTTGACATCGCTGAATTTTTAGTAGTGTATTTTACAAAGCCTGAAATTTACCACATTCTACACGAACAACTCACCCCCAGTTTTTTCACTGTAGTATTTGCCGAAGGCCTGGTCTTTGGGAGTGTTTGGGTAAAGGTAACACAGTGGGTTAACTGGAATATTTTCTGCTACCATGATCCGAAAGTTGCAGAGGATATCAGGTAAAGCAATCTGCTTTAGGTCAGTACTGGTGAATGGTTTTACGGTTTGCACACTCGGAGAGCCTTAAAAAAACAAAACAAAATAAACATTGTATATTCAGACTCACATTCGCTGGACCCTGTGTGGCCAAATACTGAACCATGTCTGAAAGAAGTATATCTTTTTATGACATGGTTTACCATCATTAGCGTACTGCACCCAGCTGAACGTGATTCCTCCATCTTTGATGCTTTCGCTAAAACGCAACAGGAAAGTGCCATTCTGCTTCTTCTTCAATAAAAGTCTTTCCTTCCCCTTGCTGATAAAGCCCATTATAGACCTACAGAAACAAACACACTTGTGTTGAAAACACATACACTCCATGATGATTTTTTATCTATCTATCTATCTATCTATCTATGCTATCCATACCCATCACTCCACAGGTCTGACAGGTAGAGTTTAACCAGGTTTAGAATGCCATCCAGCCACACCCACAGGGTGAAGTTTGTATCGGGGAGGTTCTCCTAAATCACAGACAACCATGAGTAAACAAAACACTCATACATCCATATCAGGCATTTCACAAAGACCTATATAACTGTGTTTATCTGTTTTTACCTTATTGAACTTGGTCCAGGATATCTTACAGTTGTCATAGCTCTGTTGTTTACCTAATAAGAAATATTACATTATTAACAAATACCAGATAACTTTATGACCTTTATTTTACTCTATATTTTGTTATCTATTAATGAACAAAAGGTGTGGCATGTGCATACCAAAGAGTTTGATGGCAAGGGTCTCCAACTGGTCATTGTCTAGACCACGTTTCCCACAGGAGAGAAATTGCCAACTTAGCATTTCCCCAAACTGCGGCCAAGTGGCTGCAGGAGAGGTTTCAAAAAACTTGATGTTCTAAATGCACACACAAAAAACTGAATTTTAGTGATGCAAATAATAAAAATAGCTTTTCATGAGTCTAGAGTAACTCCTGCTCCTGACCTTGGGATCTGGACAGAGCATGTTGAACCACAGAACAGACGCCCAAGCGCTCTGCTGCTGACTGGAGTTTGAAATCACCACAACAGGAAGAGAAGAGGTCTGAGATGGAAAAAGGAAGCATGATCATAAAAACTGTACTGGCAAATCTATGGAATGTTCCAACTTTACTGAGATTTTTTTTCAATGAGGAAAAGATGTCTCACCTCCAAAGGGACAGACAGGCCTTGATAGTCAAACTGGGTCTGAAAGTTTATTCTGTGCAGCTCTTCGGTCACACTCAATGAGAGCTGCACAAAACACACAACAGGATTTACAAACAGAACTCTACTTATTGCTTGGTCTCTCAATTCTGATTATTTTAATTACAATTTTGCACAACTATTTTGCATTATTTTGTGGAATTATTTATCTAATTATCGCCAGCACTGTAATTAGATGTGTTTTATTAGGAGTGACTCGTATTGCACTTTGACACTTGGCTCATTTGGAGTGTTTGTGTCATAACCTGGTGTGTTTTGATCAATTAGTTTGGTTCAAGTAAACATACTTGAAAATAGCAATCATACCAAAACAATCAGCTTGACATTGACTGAATGAAATGGTCTCGGTCCAAATGGGAAGAAAAAAAAACTAAAACAACAACTCTGAAGCGGTTCGCTTATGGTGAGAAAGCAATTCAACTTAAAACAACAAACTGAGCTGTATCATAAATTTAACAGTTAGAGCAGGTATAAAGGCTTATACTCTTTACAATGGTTTATGTGCGTTTAACAACAGCTAGTCTGCAGAGCTAACTTGTCGATCCATCTTGATGGCTGACCGATATGAGCAGAATCACGTAACATAAACAGGTGCACTCTGACCTACAGGAGGACAGTTACACACACACGTGACTTGCGTACGCACATTTTGGGTATGCTTTGAAATGTTTACTTGTGAAGGCAAACCAATCCAAGGAGAAAGTGCATTGTAACAATTTAAGCCCATTCTGGAACAAAGCAAATAATCTACAGATGTGGAAACCCTTAATCTGTATTGAGTCTAGAAATCAGTCTTGCCGTAACATAAACAGGTGCACTCTGACCTACAGGAGGACAGTTACACACACGTGACTTGCGTACGCACATTTTGGGTATGCTTTGAAATGTTTACTTGTGAAGGCAAACCAACCCAAGGAGAAAGTGCATTGTAACAATTTAAGCCCATTCTGGAACAAAGCAAATAATCTACAGATGTGGAAACCCTTAATCTGTATTGAGTCTAGAAATCAGTCTTGTTTCTGTTGTTGACCATCTGCTGGGTTTACACATGTTACATGCAGCAATGTAATTACTAGCATTTATTATTCATCCTTAGATCCTTAGAAAACTCACATCATTGATCCCTTTTCCTCCACCACCGACTTTCTGGTCTTTTAATGTCTGTGAAAAAGCACACATACACAATGCTTTAGCTTTTTATCTTTATAATCAAAATCTGGTTAAAAAAATGTAACACAATCCACTACCAAATTATCAGCTGTTGTTGTGCCATCACTTAATGTCAACTAAACATTAAATATGAAAAAGTTTTATAATGATATGTTACTTTGATTCATTCAAATGCACACTGGAAGGACTCACCAAATGTCTGAAATCAGCAACCATGCCCCCATTCATACTCTCAGCCATGTTAAGGGCTTTACTCAAGGTACCCAGCACATTAAATTTCCGAAACCTACCATATAAGCACATTAAACATGGTATTTAAAATCATAGTCATGAATTTGTGGAGTGGGGTGATGGGAATGTGTGTATGGAAACACTCACCCTTTCAGTTGTGAAGTAGCACTAAAACAAAAAATAAAAACAAAAGGGAGAGAAGACAGTAAGAATTCAGAGTCCTAACCACCAACTGACTTCTTTCAAACCATATCAAACCACACAAATCTAACAAGCATGACTTGTTTCTATAGTCTCAGAAATACAAATCATACCATATGAGGAAAGAAAGAGAGACGGTGATCTTACTTGTCAATAGAAACAGTCACCTTCATAACATGGTTGAGTTCAGGAACTTTATATAACAATCTGTAGAGAGGAGTGTGATTGTCCTTTTAGGTCTGAGGAGAAACTGTTTTTTTGGTTCTAAATTTCCATCTCAACAACTTGAACTAAACATTTTTAATTACAAAAATAAATAAATAAATAAATAAAATCTGTGCATGCATAATGAAGATACAACTATTCAAAAGCAGTACTGACATTTGAGGGAAGGAGGTCACTTTCACACATATTTCCAAGTACTAAGTTCCTTAGAACTAATAGGGGTCATATACAGGACAATAAACTAAAATGAACTTACATATTCTCAATTTCCTAATGTTTGAAGCAATACTGGTTTTCACTGTTTCACAGGTGGTGAGTAATGTGCCGTATAATGTTAGAGCCTGACCTGACTTTGACTGAGAACTGAACATTTGTGCGCAGCACCAGGAGGCCTCGACCTTGCGGCATGGATGGCTGAGTCTCTACAACAAATGAGCTAAAAACACACCAACAAATAATGAAGCACATAAGCATGGAGAGAGAGTCGTGTATGTGTTGTTGTGTCTGTGTTTGAGTGTACCTCTTTATCAGGTGGGTCAGTAGAGTGTCCACTCTAATCTTTAAAGGGGGTTTTCGGACTGGGATGGGGTCATTTTTGTAGGTCATCTTCCCTACCAGCTCATCAAGCTTCTGTAAGAACTTCTGCAGCTGGAACATGCACTCTATAATTTGAGTGAACCTGCCGAAGGCCATAAACATCTTAAAAATAGATCTGAATGGTGTTTGAACAGATCACACTGCTCCGAGAAATTCATGAGCGGTTACCATTTCTCTAAGTGTTCCAGACTTGTATCATCAGGAGCACCAATGCAGGACTTCTGTTGTCTCCGCTTCCACTCCACCAGTTCCTCATTTATGAGCGCTGAGTGCAGAACATCAGCAGTGTCCAACATAGCCGAGATATCAGACAGGAAGTTCTGAGACAATGACACAAGAACAACATGGTTCATAAACATAATGAATGAATTTTATTTATTTTTTTATATTATGTTTTAGACTTTTTTGAGTTAGTTTCTAAGGCAACCTAGTTTCCTAGGTTTAGTTAACAATAATCATCCTGAATAGAATAGAATAGCACACAAAATTTGCCTACCCTTCTGCAGTTATCGAGTGCATTGATCATCTTCTGAAGCCCTTCTAATTGCTTTTTCTTCTCTTCTTCTGTGCAAGCTAATGACACATTAAATATACACACATATTAACACCACCATATACAGTGAAACCAAAGACAGTGTGTTTAGTGTGCAGCCTCACAGTCCATTAGGTGTGTCTGATATTTAAAATCAAACTCATCCTGCTGCTCCTCCAAACACCTTATGTTGTGCTCCATCACCTGTCAAAAGAAACAATGAATCATACTCTTGAACAAACACGCACACGCACACACACACACACATACCTGTATACGTGTATACTCACAGACACACACCTCTACTTTGGCCTTAAGGTCTTTTAACCTCTTTTCTACTTGTCTCTGGCTCTCCAACTCCATTGCAGCTGGCTGTATCTGCAACGTCTGCACCTGAAACATTGAGAGAGAATCAGAAGTGACTGATGATGATGTTGATAATGAGAGTTATGATGATGATGATGATGATACTTTAAGGTACTAACTTGCTGTGCAAGCTCTGCATCATTCAAGATCCCTTTCTCCTTCACCAGGAACCAATGGATAATAGTAGCAAGAGTATAGGGCTCCTCTTGGTATTCCTGCATACAAGCAAATGTAACTCATCATCCCATAGCTGTTAATGATTAACCCTATACTATTGATAACTATATCACTGATAACTTTTTCCAGCTAGTGAACAATAAAAATATTGACATTTAAAGTATAATCATGTTCACAGCGCACTTGGAAATAAAAAGAACATTATTGTCAGTTGGTGTGGACTGTAACACAGTTGAGGTTATAGTTAACGTTCTTGGTGTAAACAGGCCTTTAGTCTACCAGTATAGTTTTTGTTCAGCATGTTTAGCCATTTTAGAGCCTCACAAATCCAAAGAGGAAGTACACTTACCTGAAAGTTTTGTTTGTAGCGTCTGAAATTACGCTGCAGTAGGAAACTCTCTTTCTCTTGCACAAAACGACTGAACTGGTTGTCCAGATTCTCTAAAAGCACCTGAAACAGGAACGCAGCTTGGGAAGAGTCCCGAGAAGCACGTTCCCTGCAACACACACAAACACTGTATTTGTAACACCTGGTTGATACTCCTTGGTTTAGCTGTGTTCTTCTCCTCATCCATGGTTATTAATACATTCTGGAATAGTGAATTATAAAAATCAATCCACAGGTTTTAGTTCTTGCTCACACAGGTACTGCACTCACCAGTCCTGGCCCTCAATCCAATGTGCCAAGTAATGTCTGACTTCCATTGGGAATTCATCTCCATTGTACAGATCAAAAGCCCTCTGTGAATACACTGTATCCAGCTGCTGCAATCGCTCCCACTGTGTCATTCTACAAAATAAAAAAACAAACATTTCATATTTGTCGAAAGATCAAGGACTAGTCAGGACTGGGGGACTGTCCTGCCACTACTTTGCAAGTCAGATGTCAGAGCTTAAGCATTGTTCCAGTGGTTATTTTTAAAAACAAGCCAAGGGAGAAAACTCAGTTGTTTGGAAGTTGAATCGCAGAACAATAATGTATGGCGTGACTTTTCAACGTGCCATTTTTTTATTCTAAGGGCAAATGAAGTGGCATATTGACAATTTTTTGGTCAGCAAGAATTGTTCTTGTTTGAAAAGCACAGTAGAGATTCTTCAAAAGATTATTTAGACATTAAAGTAATTTATAATGTTTCAAAAGATTCCTGTTTCAAATATATATATATATATATATATATACAGTGGGTACGGAAAGTATTCAGACCCCCTTAAATTTTTCACTCTTTGTTATATTGCAGCCATTTGCTAAAATCATT